CCCCCCCCCCCTCCCCTCCTCCTCCTCCTCTCGCTCATCCTGCTCCTCCTCAGTCTTCACTTAATTCAATTCCTCTCCCACCCCTCCACCCCTCCCTCGATCTTCCTCTTTCTCTATACATACACAATCTCGTCCCGCCTATTGCCTATATAATTGCCCTGAATTCATCTTTGTGATACACCAGCTTGCCGTACCTACGATCAATTTCCCGCCCCTGCTCATTTCCTCATTTCTCCAACCGGTTTTATCGCCCACATCGGTCGCTTCGGACAGTCCCGGAAAGCTTGCTCGAGTGCTCAACACGCCTGTCTATTTCTTACCCTAGACTTCTTCTCCAGCCGATATAACTTGATCAAAGATCTTATCTTACACTATCACAATGCACGCCACCATGGTTCTCCGTAACGCTGCTCGCACCCCTCTCATTCGTTTCCTCGGAAAGCGCTCTGTGCCTAGTTGGTCTCTCCGTCTTGTCTGACTTCACGGATTCAGTTGTCTAACGCGCGTCTTCCCAGAGTCCATTGACCACACTCCTCGTGCTCACCCGGCTTCTCCTACTGGTGTCCTTCCTGATTCCTTCGCCGCCTATCGCTCCAAGGCTCAGCAGCACGGTCCCCTGGGTCGTGCCTCTTTCTCCCAGGGCATCGGTCGCGCCTCGGGCGCTTCTCTGGGACCCATCCAGCCCAAGCAGGGTGAATTCTTTGACCGTACTGAGCTCCCCTCCCGTTTCCACCGCCTGCCCTGGACCGAGGCCGAGATTGAGGCCATTGAGACCGGTGGTGCCAGCCTTTTCGCCTAGATGCTATAGAATGTCCAATGAGGAGATGACGAGACGATAAAGGTCATTTAACATTGACGGGATGCACGACAAATGATGTCACGCTGCGATGAGAGACTGGTGGCCTGGACCACGGCACCTGCGCGCCCGCTTCAGGAAGGACTACCAGTGACTCTGTGAAGGTCACCGTCTTCTCTCGCATCACCTCAACTTGCACGTCACTTTCTTCAGGACCGGAAGCACTGTCTTATACTGGTGATGGGTCGTTCAGTCGGCGTGCCCAGCCTGGAAGCTGACCCGGTCCCTCTTCTCTTCTTTCCGCCACTGCTTCTCTCATTCTCTGATTCGAACACGGCGCTGGTGGTTGCTCGTCTTCATGCTTAGCGGTTTAAAATTTTTGTTCTTCTTTTGGGGCGTGCTTGCTATATGTGGGATAATCTTTTCTCTGTCTGTTTGGGACATGCTGAGATCTATTGAGATCTATTCAGACTCTTGTGTATAGCTGATTCGTTGATCCGGATTGAAAAGTCTGCTGGAAGTAGGGTTTGTACACGGGCGGAGATGCTTTGGTCTCTATGATGAGACTTAGGGGAGTTAACCAATGAGATTCAATCATGAATCTGGAATTCTACAGCCTTGATGATCCCTAATTTCTACTGCGTTAGCTGCCGCTAAGATAGAGGCCCAAGGATACCGATGATGTCAGGCTTAGCGGTGATTAAAGAACGTACTGAGTATAGATATGGATCTCTTTGCACGTGCTGCTGCAGGGGTCCTAGCGTCGTCGGTCTCGACCACGCAATCAACCTTCCAATCAACCAACATACATGACTGGATCTTCTTTGCACATGGAACTTTGCACCATCTTCAATCAACCCTGAGATCCCGAATCCTGGTCGATTCGGGGATTCCTCTTTTTCTGTAAAGAAAAAAAAAAAAAAGTAGCAGCGCAAACGTCTAAAACACAAAGAATGGCCTTCAACAGGGGCTCGGAGCCCATTACCTTCAACGAAGTGGACGAAGCCAACCATCCTACAGCCACCTATGTCTACACTCAATCAACTCGCTCTCTGCCATTGGAGCATGGCAACGGCCGTGCAAACAGCGGACGTATAGATCTTCTGGTCAGTTGAAATAGCATTGCCCCCTCTAATGGTAGTTGTGTGAAAGCGATCGAGTGCTACAAATGACATGTGAGCTGATACGGTTTTCCAGCATGATCCCTCCAGCTTATCAACAACTCCGTGGTCTTCCAAGGCAATACTGGACATCCTCGTTGACGTCTTCCTCCCCACTGGATATCCGCACAGTGTCACTGAAGACTACACCCCGTAAGTCTGGTAAACTCGGTCTCGACCATGATTCTGACTAACGAACTGCAGCTATCAAATCTTTGTATGTCTGTGTTTACCGCGTCCATCGCAAGCGATCCACTTCCGGCATAGACATTGATGCACCCCTCTTCACGGTGTGACTGACCATGGTTCCTCAAGGACTCCCTTCAAGCATTTAGCAGCTCTATCGCAGGTCTCCTATCATCCAGGGCGGTCTTACAAGGTTGGTCATACTGCATATACCCTCTCTCTGCCACAATTACATGGCAAACACTGATGAACAAACTACAGGCGTGGGTGTCGGCAACGCTGATGCATCACCTACTTCAGCTCTACTCCTCCATATCCTCCAAGACTCATCCGGCCGTATCGCCACCATTCTCTTCGCGCATCGGATCGGTACCGCGCTCGAGCCAGAATGTAAGAAATATCGGCTTGCGGCAGACATTTTCAACGATGCGGCTATGATCTTGGACTGTTTTTCGCCCATGGTCCCAGCGGGTGCTCTTCGAGTTCTCGTACTCAGCACAGCAGGCATTCTTCGTGCCCTTTGTGGCGTCGCAGGTGGAAGTTCCAAGGCGAGCTTGAGTGCGCACTTTTCTCGATGGGGCAACCTAGCGCAGGTTAATGCTGTAAGTAGCTGTGCGCACAGCTCACCCCTGTAGTGACCTGTCTCTATGTCCGAGGTCAAGAGAGGTAACATCTTTTCAACAACAGAAAGACTCGTCTCAGGAGACTATCATCTCTCTCGTTGGCATGCTGGTAGGCCCCTCCTTCCCTCCCACTGATTTTGCTCTCCCCTGCACGCTACATGCATGCATCCACGCATGCATAACAGCGCTAGCTGACAGGTTGCAATAAAAAAGGTTGGGTCCTTCGTCGTCTCGCATGTGACAGGTTTCGCTGCAACATGGATCGCCCTCCTAATGCTTTTGGCCCTGCATTTGAGTCTGAACTATGCAGCCGTCCGCTCCGTTCAAATGACGAGTCTGAACAGGCAGCGGGCGAACATTGTCTTCTCCACCATTCTCAACACTGACGGGGACTTCCTCCAACTGATGGACCAGGACGCCGGCACTAGCACCAGAACTCACCGCACAACAATCTCTCCCCACAAGCCGAGTGCGGATCACGACCGACTGCGAATCCTCACGCCATCCCAAGTCGCCAAACAGGAGAAGATCTTCGAGACAGACGGTGTTCTCAGATGGTCATCTCCTGTTCCAACCCAACCAGTGGGGTTGTGCATCGGCACCTGCCGGATCGGCGTTTCCCTTCGTCAATTTCTCCTCGGTCCATCCTCTTCCTCCTCTTCCTTCTTCTCCTTCTCCTCCCTCGCCCTCATTTCCACCCATTCCTCCAAATCCCTAAAGACTAACATCCCTCTTCCGCAACTCTCTACCCTCTTCACAGACGAACACTACATCCTCTTCCTCAGCTTCTTCAAGGGCAAATGGCACGCCAACATCCTCCTGAAATCCAGCTGCACCCCGCAGAGCCAGCTCAAAGGCTGGCTACACGCCTTGCTCGCAGCAAGAGTTCTTTCTTGCAGTCACCCCTCTTCCCCCAACGCAACGCCATCTGAGAAAGGGAGCGAACCCGAGATGGATGGGAGGAGCATCGGCCTCATTCTCGACGTTCTTCACCGCACACTGTCCTTTCTGAATGAAGATGGCCGGTTCGAGCGGTACATAGCCGCCCTCGAAAATGCAGGGTGGGATCTCACCATCCGGGCGTTGGAGACGAAGTCGGGCAGAAGAGTTTGTTGATGTAAACAAAATCCAGTCAAATCACAGGAAAATTTTGTAGTTTGCCCAGCGCCTGGCAACTGGGCCCGCCTGGTGAACGTTCGACTTCCTCTCATTACCTTGTAAATCAGAGTCATGTCCCAGTTTTTTCCTCCAACAGTACACACAAACTTGGGGAGGGGGACAAATCCCCTTCCTTGGATGGATCCAAGTCTGGACGCCTCACCTATTGCTATATATTATTCCCATGATGGAACGGCCCAAGCTGGGGTGGGTTCGTCTGGACTCGAACGCTTCCGACTTGACCGTATCAACCTTCCCTTTGGTTTGATGGACACCTAGAATCGGCGCCATAGTTTCCGTCCGTACCCAAGAGAGAGGTTGCGCCAGTGCCTCGAGCTCGAGCACAGTTTCGTTGTTCCAGTCCAAACCAGTTGAGATGGGCGATGCTTTGCGGAAGCTGTCACCGAAGTTCGCACGTGGTTTTGAGCTGCAGGCCAGAATAGTTCGCGTTGTCCTATATATATGTACAGTGCATAGATGGCCCTCGGCCCCAACGCCTTACACATCTTCCACTCTTCTCTGATGCAGTGACAGGATGCTCATGCACAGGGGCTCTATGGCTTGCTGTAATTTCCACCAGAGCATATGATAGTTCAAGAGACTACACAAGCAACGCGCAACGTTGACAATGCATCAAACCATGGGTATCTATTGACCGACTTCCAGTACAGTGATGCTAATGCTAATGCTAATGCTAATGCTAATGCTAATGCTAACGCTAATGCTAACGTTAATGCTAATGCTATTGCTGATGCAAACCCCGTGCTGTGCAAACAATGCATGGCCATAGAAAAAGGAAAAGAAATAACACAAAAGAACACAGAAGGGTAATTGCGAAGAAACCCGGCATATGGCCTCTGCCGGTACCTCATGATCCAGAAAACATAAATTCATGCACATCACATCACGACCAACAGCCACACGACAGCCCAAAAACGCCAGGAAAAGATAAACTCCGGATGCCACACCATTTTGAGTCCTGTCTATATGAGTTTTGTTGACACAAAATATCGAAATGCTCGCTAAATCGCTCGCAGGCTTGAGCAAAACACACACACACACACACAAAAAGAGAAGAACGAGAAGAAGGCAAAACGCCTCTTCTGAAAATGCTTTCCCGGTTGGAAGCATGAAAAACCAAATATGCACGGGCATTATATCGTCATCATGGCCATCCACTCGTGGTCATATCTGAATGGAAATGCTCGCTGATGGAATCGAGGGACCAGTCGTAGACACAATGTAAACGTTTGAGGGATTAGCTCGGAGGCGTCCGGTCTACCGAAGGGAGAGAACGTGGAAAGACGGTAGCCGTTTCGTGGTACACCTCCAGGGTGGTTAATCAGGGGTGAAGTAAAAGCTGTGGTCCGCAAAGGGGACAGCAGCAAAGCTTCACTGTCTGCCAGAAAGTTCCCGGCTTTCGGTGTAGGGCAGGCCTTGTTTGCGGGGCTCGGACGGCCAGTCATTCGTCCATGCCGGATAGTTTGAAGTGATGGCTGCCGGAACCACTGTTCCCAGAGCGCTTCTTGAAACCCAGCTTCATTCCCATCTTCTTCCAAGGGTTGTCGGACCGCTTCGGACTGTGACCGAGTTGCATACTATTGGGTTCACTCGAGGGTGGAGTCGTCGGCGGTGTCATCGGTTCACCTGTACTAACATTCGACTGCACGCTTCCTGAATCATCCGTTAAAGCGCTGCCCGATGCCGACTCCCCGCTAGCACTAGTAACATGACTTGATGTGCGATGACCCGCCTTGCTCAAGGATGAAGTCATCGCACTCAACGAGAAGTTCGACCGGGTGGAGTGGCCAGTCGGGGACCCGACGGAGACCGGGGAGCCTAATTCTTTGGAGGAACGGGGCGATAAGCGGCGACCCTTCGAACGAACCCGCTTAACCGTGTGATCGTCGAGACTCGCATTGGAAACGACAGTGACATCCTCGTGCGGGAAGAGTGGCTCGGATAGGGGGAAGACGTGAGCAGCAGCGGCGTGAGCGTTCAGGAATGGGATGAAGATCGACTCTTCCATCAGGTCGTGGACGAGTTTCACGGCAAGGTCCAGAATTTCGGGGGGCGGCGGGGGAGTTTGATTCGCATATCGAAGAATATCTTCCCGGACTTCGCTGGAGACGTTGATCTCACGCGGGGAACCCGGGATGATGTAGGCTGTCAACAGTCGTTGCCAGAGCATGCGCAGGTGTTGGCTTTCGGGACATTCACTGGCAATAGGAGATTGGTTCAGTTGGCGACTCAGAGCATTGTAGGTTTCCCGGTACCGCTTCGCCTCCAGGGTGAATTCGAGAGTCTCCAAGCAATGATTCTGGGAAAGATAGGCCATGAAGGCACTGAGGGTGTAGGGTGCAGGGGCAGTGTTCGCAAGCACCTCATCTAAAGAGGGACGCATGGGACAAAATGCGCCAGGGGGTACAGTCAGACTTAGCGGACGCGGACGGGGGGAGTCCATGTCCTCGTCCGACTCGCTGTCCGATGAAGAGGTCGTCGGCGAGAGTTCAGGCGTCGTGGTGGGAGTGTGATGCCGGAAGAGAATGGGAGGATGTAAAGTCCTCTTCTTGAGCATCGCGTCCAGGGTGTAACAGGACTCGTGGGGTAAGATGACCGAGTGTAGCGACAGCCCTGGAATCCTCCCCGCACTGTAAAACAGTTGTGACAGGGAAGAATGGTTGTGTGTCCCGGGGGGAGGGTCACGGCTCGTCAATGGCTCGCTTTCGGACTTGTCGAGGGTTCCAGTTTCCCAGGGTCCGTTCGTATTTTGGCCGAGCACCAGCTACCAGCCACCGGCGGATCAAGAACCAGGCTGGGTGATGAATGCGAGTACCGGCGGGTGAGAGCGGGAAGAACGGTGAATGGAATGAAAGGCAGCGTTAGCGGTGTCGAGTTGTGAGGCAGGCGGACGCGCTGAGTAAAAGAGAGGAGGGGGGTGGAGGAAGACAATCCAGTGAGTAGGGATCTCAAGATTTGAGTAAGACTCAGTGAAAGAATGAGATCTGTTTGGCAGACAAAGGATTGATTAGTTTTGAGGGGAAGAATATTTGTGGTGACAGGGGGGGGGGGAGATTGGAAGGAAGTGCAGAATTCCAGAAGGATTAAGGAAGGAAGGGAAAGGCAGGCAGGCAGCAGATAGACGGACAGACATACAGACAGCGAGCGAGAGAAGACAGGCAGACAGACAAACATGGACGAACACTAACACTAATGAGATAATGAGATAAAGAATTTGAGGAGAACAGGGAAAATAATAATATGTGGAATTAAGGCCTGTACATCAATCAGTAGGGGAAAGAAAAATCAAATTCGGGAAAAATGAAATTTGGAAATAATGAAAAATGAGAGAAAAAGGAAAGAGAGGAAGAAGAGTGGAAAGTTTGGATCCGAAAAGGAACCTTGGAGGAAGAGAATTTTGGGTGGGGAGGGTGGGAAAGCGAGTGAATGGAGTGAAATGAAGTGGATTGGAGTGGAGTGGCAGAAGGGATGACGCCACAGGGAGAAAAGATCTGGATTGGATGGACTGTGGATCGAAGGAAGTGAGTTGAGACTCAAGAGAGGTTCGAGGACAAGATGAGGAGGGGGGGGGCGGGAGGGTAAGCCTGGGAGGATGATGGGAGGCAATGAAACAAGGCAGAGACAGACAAGACAGACAGTTTTGCTGATCAATTTTTTGTCAGGTTAGGCTCCACTCCACAACTGGAACGCAACCACGTTGGCTGGCCAGGGATGGGGCTAACTGGCGAACTGGCGAATTGGCAAGTTGACTGGCTGGCTGCCTTCCTCTCTCCCTCCCTCAAACCACAAATCAAGTGCAGACAAGACTTTTCCACCCGGTCGATCGTAGTTTCATCCAATCATTTCCCTCAAGGTGGGGTCAACACGCCGGATTCGCTCGATGATGGCAGAACCCCCGTGACTCTCAATCAGGCCAATGATCCAATCAATCCAAAACCAGTCAATGAGGTCTCAGATATGAGGAATAAGACCGGATGATAATCAGGTACATAGATGATACTCATAGTACTGTACTCCGGGCAGATCACCAACAGCATCTATGACCCATTGACCCATTGAACAGTAGTACTCAGTCTCCTCATACAATACGCAGTATTTGATGAAGCGAGAACCCTCTCTCTCCAGAAGCCCCACGATCTGAGTCAGTCGAGACCACTACGCGCCTGGGCAAGTAATGGTAATCATCTTCATCATCATCAATAATCCAATGACGGAATCACGTCATGCTTCAGAGGACTGAAATGATTGTGGAATAGTCGAGAGGGACTGACGACCCGAAACTGGAACAGGATCTGGAAGCCTCAAAAGGTGGGGGGGGAGGGGAACGGATCTTCGTCATTCAAAATCAGCTGTGGAGCCATCCATAGCGACCAACAACTTTGGAGTCTGTCTGTCCTTCGGTCTGAGAGATCGCTCTGCCGGTGCCAAAAGGGACGGACGGTTCGTCTCGGAGATGCAGAAGGGAACCGGGCAAGCAGACTGGTAGTGGAGACCAGCGCCTGTTTCGGCTTCGTCGAGTACTGAGTACTGTGATGTTCTCGACCTTCGGTGTGACTCGGTCCGATCCATTCCACTCTCTCTCTCTTCTCTTTCACCCCCCACCAGCGCTTCCCAGTTTCTCTTTTGCTGTTAAAGTGCAAAATAAACAGTGACGACGATGCTGTTCGGCTGACCCGTCGATCGATATCCGATTCAAGATTCAACACCCACCAGTGAGGAGATTTGTGGATGTCGTGGAGCTGGAGGGGATGGGGATGGGGATGGGGATGGGGATGGGAATGGCGAGAAAGGCATGTGTGAAACAATGCGCGCACCGTGGTCGCAACAAGAAAACAAGCATTGAACACACATGACAAAAAGAAAAAAAGAAAACAAAAAACAAAAAACCCTCCCAGGAACGAAACGAAGAAGAATGGGAGATCAATAGAGAATAAGGAAGTAGCTATGTTCTAGAAAACATCAAAAGAGAAGATCGTCTTCCACTTACCATGTGTGATTTCCAACTGCAAGGCGAGAGCTCAGCAGTAAGCAAGGGGTAAAGAAGCAGCCCCCAACAACGCGCGTTCAAAGGTCAATATGACCAACGGTGCAGATGCAACGAGGATAAATCGCTCAGCCCTGGCCGAGGAAATATGATTGATCGCGGAGCTTATGTCGGTTGCAGTTGCGGAGCAGCAGATATCTGGCGGTTGTTTATCTCGTACAGCACCGGGACAGGCCTGATACGTGGAGGATTTAATTCTGAATGTTCTAAAAGAAGGGTCGGTTTTGAGACAGGTTCTATCGCATGAGGCCAATTGACCAGAATTCAATTGGAAAGTAAGATGTGATATCAAACGCCCGCTGAACGGGGGAGGAGGGCCTCGAGCAGCTTTTTGTATGGACGTCCTACTGCAGCAAAGCTCTGTCTGATCTCAAGCATCCATCCCATCAGGCTTGGCTGAAGCGGTTAGAAGTGGATTTGGAGGAAGAAAGGTGGCAAGTGTGCAGTCTGGACTGGATTGGATCGTCGGGTACTGTAACGGGCAGACTCCGGCTGGACGTTGGAAGTACTGTACTCCGTACAGAGTATAACTATAACTATACCTGCCTCCCTCCCTCCTCTTTACGTGGCTCACATCATATACCCAAGTACGGGGTATCTCAGTCAGTAGCGACTCAGTGGTGCTATATTCCCTTGTCGAATTCCGTAGATACTGATGTACCATGTACAGTACGTATATAGTACCTAAAAACACATGGCGATTCTCCAGAAGGATTCCGCGATCCATTGCATCGGAAAATCAGGCCACGGACAAACATACATACATACATACATACATACATACACACATGCATGCATGCATGCATACATACGTAGTACAATACACAAGGGCCAAGAAGCGTGTGCACCTGCCATCCCCATACTCCCTGCCTGTTGGCCTTGACTACGGACCCGGACCGGAGAGGCAGTCTCCGGTCGGTCGAGCGAGTCGACTCGACTCCTCGTTAGGCGCGCACGACGGCCTGACGACGGCCGTGCAGGCTGGGTCTGTCCCCGCATTGATTGGCTCCAACCGCGCAGGATCTGCATGATGCCAAGCAGGCTGTGCAGCCATAGGTCAGGTAAGGGGACGGGCAGGAAGGACATACTCCCTGAAAGAGACGAACTGGAAGGCAACCTTGGACAGGGAGAATGGAGTGATAGAGGGAGGGAGAGGGGGAGAGCGCGTTGATACTGACACTCAATGGTGCCAGGTGAGCACGGGTTGATAGACCAGAATCGTCCTCGAGGCAGGCGGTCGATCATTTCGATGGTTGTTAACCCCAGGAAGGGCTGGACTAAAGCACTTTCTCGTATCATCAGTTGGTTCATCATCATAAATAAGCTGGGTGGATCTACTACCCGAGCAGGACAAAGAGGTGAGACTTGAGAGACAGCCAGTCAAAATCCCGCAACCTCCGGAGCCGGCTTGCAACAAAGTTACAAACGAGACAGAAAGACGGGGTGGTGGTGATGGTGGTGGTGGAGGTGGAGGTGGGTTTCCACAGCAGCCCAACATCCCCCTGCCTGCAGCTAGCTACCTACCTAGCTAACTTTAAGAGTCTTGGCCTACTCGTAGCTCTCCCCAGGCCAGTGTCGCCTTCCTACTGCAAGGGCCTGCAGGCTTGCAGCACCGTGTCTGTGTCACGGTGTGTAACATATACAATCAATAGTACATACTACATACATAAATGTACAGTACATACTACCGTACATAAGACGTAGCTCATCGAGGCGGTTGGGAATTGTTTTTTTTTTTGAGGTGCCCAAAGTGGATATGTGATCCGACCATATTATTGCCGCGTAACATAGACTTCACCAACATGGTAGCATGGAGGTTGCATGGTAACATAGTAACATACATGAGTAATAAACTGGAAACATGGGAACATGGATTTTCCAGAACCCAGCAGAAGAAGCAAAGAAATTTCGAGGAATGCTGGGTGTAAGGAGAGAGGCTAGCCCCATTCTCCCTTGCGGCACCAACTATGTAATCGGTTCAGAAGTACAGTACGCACTTAGATAACAGTTGAGACTACGACCTACATATACGTAGACTAGGGGCGCTTTTCGGTCCGTCCGTACTGTACAGTACATAAGAAACACCCCCCACCCTTGACCAGCCAGTCAGACGATGAGTGGCTACCGGCGATAGCTCTGAAAGCTGAGAGCTAGTGTTGACTTGATTCTACGTACTCCGTAGTGATGAAGGATTTTCGGCGAGACGAGACCAGAGGGTCCTCGCTCCTCAGGCTCCACATTTCAATCTCTTTGGCGCGTCTGGCGAGCAAACAGCGAAACCGGTGGACCACAACACAACACAACGTGTTGCCTGTTTGAGTTTGGCGGCTATAGATAGTAGACACTTGAAGTATCTTGTCGATACTCGTAGTAGAGGAATAGCATGGATGGGAGAATCAAATTCACCTGGTTGGGCAGGTCTCGAAAACATGGATGGCCTTCACATACGTGATACGTATACTATATCATCCCGTCGGTTCATCCTGTTTTGCAATCTGCAATCGGGAGGAAGG